ATTTATGTATTACCTTAATGGGATTCAGGTAACTAATGGTTAGAAGATTATACTAATTTAGATTTTCTACTTCGTGTTCCAATCAAATTCGAAACATTCTAATCTTTCATGATTATATTCGTGGTTGTGTATGTGTGTGTGTGTGTGTTTGTTTCTATACATATACTAATTAATATGATCATTCTATCTATTTTATATAATATTGATTCTCGTAATTTATTAAAAAAAAAAAAAAAAAAAAGGAGAAGAAGAACAAAATTATTTCGTGAATTTATAGATCAACTTACAAGTTTAATAAAATAATTTTTTCACTATAGTTGTTCATAGCTTTTGCCATATATTTTTTTATTATATTTTTTCCCCACTCATTTCTCTGTCATATGTTTGTTTGTTTTTTTTTTTTGTTTAAATTAAAATATTTTCGTATTGAAATATTTATTAATTAATTATTTTTTAAATATCTTTCTTAAATAATTAACAATTTTTATTTTACAGTTATTTTATATTTTATATTTTATTTTTATTTTTATGCTCATTTTATATTAATTATTTATACGATTAATCGCTATATTATTTAAATAATTATTATTTATAATAAATATTTTATTTTTATGGTTAACATATTAAACTCAACACTTATAAAACTCTATATTTAAATTTTTTCTAATTGTAAGTCATTTTATCCAACGAATGGTACATGGTTTATATTATTTTGAAATATTATAACACGTGTTTTATGATTCAATTTTCAAATAACCCATTTTAATTATTATTATTATTATAATTTTTTTTTTATTATTAACTCATTCCATAAAAAAATGTATTTATCCACGATTCGCGTTATACGTTTCCGAAAAGCCATAAACTACTTTTATTTCGCGACAGTCGGTTAAATCGTAAATGGTGTTTCTATGTCGCGGATATGTTTTACCATCAGAAAATAATTTCCTTTTTCTAATTCAACTCTCTCTCTCTCTCTCTCTCTCTCTCTCTTTCTCTTTCTTTTTTTGTATTTCACCTTTCTTTCTCACACCATCGTCCTTTTCAACCTCAACTTTTCGTACATTCGTGTTGTTTTATTTTTCTTTTTTTTTTTTCTCTTTCTTTCTCCGCAGTCACGTACAAACACGTATACCTAACATGGACAGAGCAGATAACGCGGAAGGTAAATCATTTTTTCTATGTGTGAGAGTCCCATATGAGTGTGTGTATATGTTTGTGTTTGTCTTGTCTATATATGTATGTATAAATATGTATTTGTATGACTTTTAGTCTTTCAAACATGTAGGCGTGAAAGATGTTTGTTTTACACACGCGTGGGTTTAATATACACAAGTATACAAATATACTTTAAACATTTTTGTTTTTGTACCAGTGCCACCTTTTTATAATATCCAAGACGAAAAAAAAAAAATTGAAAAGGATGTCGCGCGATAAATTTCAACAAGTCGATGATCATAATTTATTTCGTTAATTAGAAGAAGAAGAAGAAAAAAACGTAAACAAAGAAAAAGAAAAATGTATTGAAAATTAGGGAAGTGTAAAAATATGTTTAACCAGGTCAAGAATACCTGTGTAAACAATATTACCGATTGAATTTCAATAGAATAATAATTAGTATTCGAATTTCAAATGAAAACTGATTCATGTTATACTTTGTCTTTTGAATTTTGTATTTTTATATTTTTTTTTTTATTTTACTTTTTAATTATTTTTGGTTCTTTCAATCTTTACGAAGAAAAATAAGATTTGTGATCAAATTATGATGATAGGTTGCACAAATATAATCAACTTTTGTTTAAATTTTTGCAACATTGTCAATAGAATAATTAGTATTCGAATTTCAAAAGAAAAAAAAATTGATTCATGTTACTTAGAAAAGAATAAGGAAAAAAAAAATGAAAAAGAAAAATGTATTGAAAATTAGGGAAGTGTAAAAATATGTTTAACCAGGTCAAGAATATCTGTGTAAACAATATTACCGATTGATTTTCAATAGAATAATAATTAATATTGGAACTTCAAATGAAAACTGATTCATTTTATACTTTGCCTTTTGAATTTTGTATTTTTATTTTATTTTTTTTATTTTACTTTTCAATTATTTTTTGTCCTTTTAATCTTTACGAAAAAAATAAGGTTTGTGATCGAATTATGATGATAGGTTGCACAAATATAATCAACTTTTGTTGAAATCTTTGTCAACGTTGTCAATAGAACAATTAGTATTCGAATTTCAAATGACAACTGATTCATGTTATACTTTGTCTTTTGAATTTTGTATTTTTATTTTTTTTTTTTTATTTTACTTTCCAATTATTTTTTGTCCTTTCAATCTTTACGAAGAAAAATAAGGTTTGTCGAATTATGACGATAGATCGCACAAATATAATCAATTTTTGTTTAAATTTTTGCAACATTGTCAATAGAATAATTAGTATTCGAATATCAAATAAAAACTGATTCATGTTATACTTTGTCTTTTGAATTTTGTATTTTTATTTTTTTCTTTATTTTACTTTTCAATTATTTTTGGTTCTTTCAATCTTTACGAAAAAAAATAAGGTTTGTGATCAAATTATGATGATAGGTCGCACAAATATAATCAACTATATACAAATAGAATAATAATTAGTATTCGAATTTCAAAAGAAAAAAAAGAAAACTGATTCATGTTATTTAAAAAAAAATAAAGGGGAAAGAAATAAAAAAAAAAAAGAACAAAGTAGAAAATAGATTTACAAAAAAGAAGAATAGTGTTTTAATTTTGGTACCAGGTATACGAAGGTACAAAGGTTGAAAGTTTGAACGAATCGTGTCGCGATTCTGTGAGCCCTTGAAAATTTCTTTGCTTACGTAGAGAAACTAACTAATGGTTTTCGGAGGTATAGTGATCGATAGGTAGCGTATCCCAGGTAACCAAACCAAACGATTCAACTTTGTTGGAATCAAGAAAGTTAATGTATGACAGAGAGAATGAGTGAAAGTGTTACGAATGAGTGAACAAGTGAATGTTGTATTCTAAGAACATTTCTAAACGAAACGTAACTTATCCTTTTATTTTATTCTTTGATCCAATGTTTTTTTCTCTCTTTTTTTTTTTTTAATCATTTTCATGTATTTATTATCATCTATGAATAATTCACATTCTCTTTTCTTCTTTTCTTTTTTTTTTTTGTACAAAATTAATCTCATTTTCTATTCATTTTTTGAATCATCTTTCATTCCATCCCTTTTTTTCCCCATTCACCTAATCAAAACGTTTTTGATAAACTCCCCAGAAAAAAATATTGTGTTTCAATTATTTAATAAATGCAAAAGAAATAAATTTGATCAAGATTGATTGGTGATTCATTATGATTTCATATTTATTGACAATTATTACACATAATACGTGACAAAGTTGCATTATTGCAATGTGTGTGTGTGTAATTTCAAATGCATTTCTGATAAAAAAAAAATAAATAAAAAATAATACACAAAAACTGTCTATAACAAATTACATTTGAACGATATTAAAGTGTAATTCGGATTACATACGATTATTTTCAAACAATAATGAACAAAAAAGAAAGAAAAAAAAAAACAAAACAAAAAAACAAAAAAGAGGAATTGTCAATAACTCATTGGTGACTCGCGTGGTGGGTTTTGATAAAAAAGAAACAAAAAGAAAAAAATGGCTGTGTGATAAATTTGAATACGAGATACAATGATCGATGATCTATCAGAGACTGATTATGAGAATTAAAAAAAAAATAAAAAAAATAAAAAACCCAAAAAAAATTAATAACAAGACGAAAGAAAAAAAAATTAATAAGACGAGTGTAGATTTGAAAAAAAGGGAAATTTTGCGAATTGCAGAGTGTCCTGCAGGAGGGCTCAACAACATCAGGTGACTACCTCTGACCTCGCCCTTTCCAACGACGAGTGTGATAATCAGGTATAAAATGAAGTTACCTTAGAACCCCCCCAACCCCCCACCCCCACCCCTAACACACACCATCTTTTTTTCCTGTCAATCAATCACCCGCACTTTTTTCTATTCCTACACATTTACATTTTTGTGTAAACCCACACTTTTAAAACGAGTAAAAAATGTTTTTTACATATATATATATATATTTTCTATTTTAATCTTCTTCTTCTTATTGCTTTTCTTATTCTTATTTTATTTTTTAATATAATAATAATAATAATAATAATAATAATAATAATAATAATAATAATAATAATAATAATAGGAATCGATGTGGAAGAAAAGCTGACGATCATCATCGTGTCTAAGATGGAAGATGATTGATTGGTTGAATGATCCTAATTTGGAATGTGTACGTTTGATTGTTTTTTTTTTTGAATTTTATTTTTCAGGATTACGAGGACGACATTGACAGCGGACGTGGACGAAGACACAGCTCACCAGGTGGATCACGAGGAAATCCACGGGATTACGGTCATCATCATCTTCATCCGGATAATTTGGTGAGTCCAATTGCTTTTTCATTTAATTATTTCATCCTACTCTGTAAACACTCCTTGTCTTCTTTTCGAATTGAGAAATTCAATTATTAAATTTTTCTATTTTTTTTTTTTTTTAATTATTTATTTATTGTACTAACTTGGTATAGTCTTTTATAATTTACATAAAATGTTTTATTTCACATTGATATATCAATTATTATAGTTAAAGTTTCACGTTAGTTTAAATATATATTTCTTTTTTATCTCTTAATAATTTTTAATATTATTTTGTTCAAACTATTATACCATGTAATAGAATAATTATATATATTATATAATAAATTAAATTATAGAAATAATTATATATAAAATATATATAATAACTTATTATGTATAATAAATATATTTAATATTTATATTAAAAATATATTATATTATATATAATAAATGTAATAAATAATATTATATAAAAAAATTATAAATATAAAATAATAAATATAAAAATAATATTATATAATATAATATTATATAATTATATATTTT